TATATATTCAACAAACCACATTTAGTAAGTGTATGTATATTCAACAAACCACATTTAGCAAGTGTATCTGTATATTCAACAAATTACATTTAGTAAGTGTGTCTGTATATATATTCAACAAACCACATTTAGTAAGTGTATGTATATTCAACAAACCACATTTAGCAAGTGTCTGTATATTCAACAAACCACATTTAGTAAGTGTCTGTATATTCAACAAACCACATTTAGTAAGTGTATGTATATTCAACAAACCACATTTAGTAAGCATGTCTGTATATTCAACAAACCACATTTAGTAAGTGTATGTATATTCAACAAACCACATTTAGCAAGTGTGTCTGTATATATATTCAACAAAACACATTTAGTAAGTGTGTATGTATATTCAACAAACCACATTTAGCAAGTGTATGTATATTCAACAAACCACATTTAGCAAGTGTGTCTGTATATATATTCAACAAACCACATTTAGTAAGTGTGTATGTATATTCAACAAACCACATTTAGCAAGTGTATCTGGATATTCAACAAACCACATTTAGCAAGTGTGTCTGTATATTCAACAAACCACATTTAGTAAGTGTGTCTGTATATTCAACAAACCACATTTAGTAAGTGTGTCTGTATATTCAACAAACCACATTTAGTAAGTGTCTGTATATTCAACAAACCACATTTAGTAAGTGTGTCTGTATATAACAGACACACTTACTAAATGTAATTTGTTGAATATACAGATACAGTTACTAAATGTGGTTTGTTGAATAAATATATATTCAACGTTAAGCCGATCTTGCAACTAAAACATTTGTGGTTACACTCGTTTTTAAAGCTTTTATTATACTCATTCTTTACTAAAAGTCCCCCAGGTGGGATAGCGGTAAGTTTACGGCCTTACCATGCTAAAATCCGGGATTTGATTCCACGCGGTTGCCCCATGTGACTTTGCTCTGAAACAAACCTTAAAAAAAAACTATTATCACTGACATGTTGAACAATGAAAAGATCGGTTTCATGTTCAACATTCCTACTCAAACTTTTCATGACAGCGTTTTAGCCCCGTGTTAACAGTGCGTGGAAACGAGCACAGAGTCGATCATTACATTTCTAAAAGTGCTACGAAAGTCTAGCTACCAGTTAATTTATAATTACTGCAAAATAACCTAATATTTACAGGTGGCAGCACATGTCTAACAATGATTTTGGGGTGACATGTTATACTACTTAAAAAGTCCACTTGATTTATCGAATTATTTTTAAACTATCTGACATACATGTTCAATGCACATTGAAGCCATAGGGGCTCCAGGAGTCAGAAGTAAAGGGGCTAGAACCGAACCCGTGTCACACATTTGGAGGCCCTAAGGGTGCATGCCAAGTTTGGGTGAGATCAGTTTTAAACACTATAGAGGTGAAGAGCAAACACACACAGACAGAAAGTGGCTCCTGGGGAGTGCCAGTAACATTATACTTGTTTTCAATTATTAAAGCTGTTCAACGTATATATGATGATAATTAGCAATTCAATCAGTAAACGAAAACAATGTAATCTCGAGGGCCTGTGGTGTAAGATTTGTTTGTTTGTTTGTAATTAAGCACAAAGCTACACAATGGACTATCTGTGCTCTGCCCACCACGGGTATCGAAACCCGGATTCTAGCGTTGTAAGTCCGCAGACATACCGCTGTGCCACTGGGGGGCGTGGTGTAAGAAGGAGTGGGAGTGCTTGGCTAGTTTATGTTTGTTTTGAATTTCGTGCAAAGCTACACGAGAGCTATCTGCGCTAGCCGTCCCTAATTTAGCACTGAAAGACTAGAGAGAAGGCAGCTAGTCATCACCACCCACCGCCAACTCTTGGGCTACTCTTTTACCAACGAATAGTGGGATTGGCGCCCCCCACGGCTGAAAGGGCGAGCATGTTTGGTGGGACGGGGATTCCAACCCGCAATCCTCAGATTGCGAGTCAAGCACCCTAGCCACCTGGCCATGTCGGGCCTGCTTGTCTAGACGTGCAGATTTTACAATGGTACACTGACAGTATAAGGAGCTGCCAAAGGCAGATCAATCTAGGTGGTTCTGGAGGCATACCCCCCCCCCCAATTTACAGTTACTATATAAGCCAAATACGTAAAAGTGGGGGTGCTATCGCACTCCCAGTTCCGACTCCTCTGTCGAGGTCAGTGATTTTCAGAATGAAATGAGAAGAAAAGTAAAACGGTCAAATCGTAGGATCAAAAATGAGAACTTGATATTATTTCAGGTAAAAACCTCAGTCCAAGTAGTTGTTTGGTTCTGGTTGTAAATGTGAATAATTACACTGAAGACAAGCTCCTGGAAAAGTGGTGGGAGGGAGGATTCTGAAATATTTCATTTACTATGAAATGAATTTGTATTCCTTACATAAAATGTATTTCTTATCTTAGATACATATATACACAAACGTAAAGTGCAGAGTGAATTATATTAACAATATAATTCCCACTTAATTTACAAGGTGTTCTACATTACTAATTTTCGTGACACTCATCTGTGAAAATATGATAATAATCACGGTATATCGTGTGTTTTTTTAATCTCTGACCTCCTTACAAATTCTTTAGACCGAAATGTTTCATTTCACGCAGATGACTGCTTCATAATTTATAACCATAGTCATGTAACCGTTCCGCTACACAAAACTTAACCCTAGTTTGAGACTCCGAGCTTTCCGTATTGCGATTTTAGGCTACTAAATTACTGTTGCTTTCACCTTGGCTTCTTGTAAGAGATATAAAATAATATTTTAATATCTTAGAAGACAATATAAATTTACTATAACATAAAAATCAGGTGTTTTTCTTTCTTAACACTTAAGAATATATGAAACATTTTATCTACTATATGTACTTACCAGCAACCAGAGACATGTTATGTTACAGACGAAAGCAGCGACACTGATGTTGAAATTATTAATCTCATAAATTAATTTTATCGAGTGAATATCAAAATTTGCTTATAAGTTTTGATACTATCATATTTTTGTTCGTAATTTAATAGTATTTTTGCGAAATGTATATATATATCGCATTTTTTGAATATACTTAGATAAGGAGGTGAAAATTTATATAGTCGCTTAAACATAAATAGCCATATAACATACTGAACAAAATGCTACATTTGTGAGTTTATTTCAATTTAACAAATACACGTTGTTTATATATTTATTTTTGTGAACATCAAGAGAAAAAGTATGTTCAGAATATAGATTATATATCTGAGAAATATGCTTATAGTGTCACTACGTATATGGCCTAGCATGGCCTGGTAGTTAGGGCAATCGACTCACAATCTACGGGTTGATGATTCGAATATCATCGTCGATATTACAATTAACAGTTCTTGTAAATTTTGCAGGGGGCGTCAAATACAGAGTTCGTATGGGCCACAATTTTGCTTAGCGCCGGCTATCCGTAGATAACCCCTGAAGAAGGTTTACGCGGAATTCAACAAAACAAATATTTTGTATGTAGTTATATATCGTACCAATAGAAAGGTACAACGCAGCAGACAATCGTCGTAGTAAAAATTTAATACATTGTATATGTATTTTACCTATAATTAAACCTTTCAAACCAATTAGTTAAAGTACTGTACTTTAATTGAGTTAAAACAACTACACTATAATAAGAAGAAGTTAATAAAGATTTGCGGGAGATCAAACTGTTGACTCCTTTTTTTTTGCTAACAGCTATTTCACACTTCTTTGTATTTTATGTTTATATTACAAAACCTCCTTATCTATTGTTTTAGTTTTGGTTCTATGTGGTCGACTGAACGCAGCGTCCAATAATTTAGTAAAGTTATACATCACAAATACGTTGTCTATTAATTTTCATATAATTTGTATATATGTGAGTGTGTTTAAGTTTAATATAAACGTTTAAAGAGTTAATAACATGGAAAATCCCATTAACATATAGCCACGGGTGCGTGGGTATAATACGCACCCAATGAAACATTTTTTATAACAACTACATTTTATCAACAGTATTAATCGTAGAATGTGTGCGCTAGAAAAATACATTCACAGTTTATCAAAGTTGATAGTTTATATAATCTGTTATATTCAAAGATTCTGTTAAACACTTGTATACATGATTGTCCTATACGTTTTACAAACATATTTTGTTCAGGAATATTAAGATGTGCCATAACTTTTTGTCGTCTAAAAACTAATTTACTATGTTACATGCTAAAAATTAATTTGTTATATTATTCTTGTATTGTTCTCAACAATAGTGTTATATCTGACTAACGTGACTTTCTATTGTTGTCAACAATAGTATTATATCTGACTAATGTGACTTTCTATTGTTGTCAACAATAGTGTTATATCTGACTAATGTGACTTTCTGTTCTCAACAATAGTGTTATATCTGACTAACGTGACTTTCTGTTGTCAACAATAGTGTTATATCTGACTAATGTGACTTTCTATTGTTGTCAACAATAGTGTTATATCTGACTAATGTGACTTTCTATTGTTGTCAACAATAGTGTTATATCTGACTAATGTGACTTTCTGTTGTTCTCAACAATAGTTATATCTGACTAACGTGACTTTCTGTTGTCAACAATAGTGTTATACCTGACTAATGTGACTTTCTATTGTTGTCAACAATAGTGTTATATCTGACTAACGTGGCTTGTATCCATAAAGTGTTACTAACTCGAATCAATATTAGATGTTTCTGATTCTAATGAACTAAGCCTAGTCTCCCAAGTGATGATCAGCTCTTCAAAGAGCTAGAAAGATTGTTGAGAAACAATACAAACTTATTATTTGGTGAAAAGTTTGTTAAATCAGTATGTTTGTTTACAATAATAGTGAAACAAGCTGTGTTTGAAGTTTCTGAAAAAGGTTTTATGTTGTCATATTTCTTTGTTGAGTATGTCTGCGGAATTACAACGCTAGAAACCGGGTTTCGATATCCATAGTGTGCAGAGCACAGATAGCCCATTGTGTAGCTTTGTCCTTAACTTCAAACAAACAAACTATTTTGAACAATCTTATTACTTCCAAAGTGCTAATTATTATGCACTACAGTCACACAACTAGTGATCTTAAATTCCGTTTATACTGCAAACAACACTACATTTAAATATCCAGTGATAATGATTAAGTCAACGAAATTTATAATCTTATGACTTTAACACTATTGAGATAAATTATCATCATCTCTGTGTTATTCTACCTTACGGAATTTGGCAATTTTTATTAATGCAACCTGATGTTTTCTTTCAATTTTATATATTTAAAATCTCAGTTAGATAGGAAACGTGTTTTTGCTAAGAGCAGAGAAAGAGTAAAATTTTTCTTTCTCTTTCTTTTCAATATCGACTTGTTTCGAAGTCCTTCCAGTCGAATAAGTAGGGCATTCTCCCACTCAACTGTCTCTTAATTTAAATTAAAATATTTTTACTTTTCAAGGTTTTCTTGGGAAATCATTAGCCATATTGTTGGCATTTGAAAACGTACGTCTTTATTGGTCAGGACTAATGACGTCTGAAAACAACATTGTTACGATGCAGGTATATAAAGCTTCATACTT